AGGATGGAAGAAAATAAGGATGACAGGAATCGCTTGAGAACAAACAGAGTGAGTATTATCGCCCTCACTGCTCCCACCCACCCATCCTTACCATCCCATGCTATGTCCTTGCTTTCCCCTTTCTGATCACACTTGTGCAACTTATCATCCACACACCATATCAGTTTACTCTCCTCTTTGATGGTTACTCCCCTTTTGCTAGTTACCACTTGTTTTCCAGGTTCCTCGCTTTTCTTTGATGCCCCTCTCTTTTTTTCTATGCCCCTCTGCTCTTCTGAGTAATGTTCCTGCTTCCACATCAACTGGATTTTGTTCTCTGTCTGTTGCATCTCGGTATCTTCCGTCAACACTGTTTTCCCCCTTGACGTATCCTCTTGAGTGCCTATGACGTTTGCAAATCATGCTGCTTTAAATTTTGTGTCCCAATCCCCCCAGGGGTATACCTCCCCACTATTCTTTAGCCCTTTCTTCATCCTCCGTTTTCCGTTCACAGGTTGTTTGAAGGCAATATGGAACAGCAACAACAGCAGTAGCAGTAGGAGTGAGGCGTACGTAGTTTTATGTCTTGAGAGTGCATGAGAACAGTTCATGGTGATGTATGGTAAGGTCTTGTACGTACTGTAGGCCATGGTGAGGTGTGGTAAGGTACTGTAAGCTGCGGTGAGGTGCGGTAAGGTACGGCACTATTATAAAAAGTGAAAGGTATGGTGAGTGAGGTATGGTATGGTAGGTGGGGCCACCCCACCCCACCCCAACCAAGAAGACAGAATCGCACAACAGAAGAAGCAAACAGATATGCTACACCTTAGCTATGTTACAGATGCACCTTACCAGCGCGATGGGATGCACAGCACATACTCAACCAATGCAGCACAGAGCTGGCCAATGCAACCAATACGGCGGTCTCGCTCTACAGTCCACTAGAGAAAACACACAATCACCATATGATTAGCTCCACCCAGCCAGTAGAACGACCCCCTAACCCATCCAGAGAAAACACACAATCACCAAACAAGACATCTTCAGTTACACGGGCACGCTGCACACCGGACCCAACCAAAGAACCAGCCATACCCAGCCAAAGGAGATAACGAAATGCGGTACAGCTAGCCAGCCAAACAAACACATGCAGCCATTAAGGGGGTTCATTCACATCACTCATCGACGGCCTTGAATTGCCCATTACTCTGTTACTCACAATTTCTCGCATGCATGCACATAATCTCGGATTTGATATCAGCCCAAAATCTCTGCACCACTGTAAGTAATTGCCCAAGCCTCACAGCCAACACCTGAACATTTAGCGCATCAACAGAATTCATTTTTAGTGTTCCCTGAACGCATATTCCCCTTCACACTGTGCCCTTTGTCCGCGATAGTGCGATCCTAGCTCTTATAAAATCGTCATAACATCTGGTTCAGCTCGGTTTTCCGCGGTTTACATTTGCGGATGAGTCTCCCACAATCTCCTGGAACCACTTCAAGCGCAGTAGAGTTATTTGTGGTGCGCAACCAAGCATGCGTGCAAGCCCCAGCACCACCAACGATAGTCGTGAGCTTTCTTTCCCATAATCGCTGCCGCCTTACTCGATTCACGCACGTCGCAATGGCTCCGCGCGTCGCTGGCAAGCGGCAGAAGCAGGAGCGAGCGGCAAGGGCGGCGGACGACGCGGAGAAGGCGAAGGAGCTAGAGACCATTTTGTTCGGCAAGTCAAGCGATTACGTGGCAGACCTCGGAAATGAGCTGGCAGCGGGAGCGGTGGACAGCGAAGCTGCCGCGGACCTTCCGCCGAGCAGCGAGGATCTGATCACCGCGCATTTTGGCGGAGAACCCGGCGGAGAAGGCGGGGACGCGGAGGGTTTGGTAGGGGGCGAGGTTCTGCTGGGGTTTATCGACCGCAAGAAGCAGCGAGTGGAGGAGGAGGGGAAGGGTTCAAAGGGGAAGAAGCGCAAGGGGAAGGGTTTAGGCGAGGCGGAGGCGGAGAAACCCGCGTGGGTGGACGAGGAGGATGAGACGCTGGTTGTGACTATAGCGGGGCAGAATCGGCTGAGGAAGCTGCGGAAGGAGGAGGACGAGGTGGCTGTATCGGGCGTGGAGTACCAGCAGCGGTTGCGTGCGCAACACGCTAGGTTGAACCCGGGAACGCGGTGGGCCAAGGTAGGGTTGGGGAAGCAGCAGAAGGAGAAGAAAGAGAAGAAGGAAAAACCGGTTACGAGGAAGGAGAAGCGGGATGATTCTGTTAAAGAGAAGCGTTCTAACGAGGATGCTGAGAGCGAGGAGGAAGATGAGGCGGATGCAGGGGAGTTATCAGATGGGGAACGGGGGGGGGTATTCAGCGATCTGGAGCAAGAGAGAGCTGCTATGGGGGTGGGTGAGGAGGAGGATGAGGAGGGAGAGAGTGAGGGAGACGAGGATCAGGACGGATTTGATGCTGATGAGATTCTCCGAAACATGCCAATGCTTGCCGGCCAGAGCAAGGACCGAGCCAGCCAGCGCACCACCCACCGCCTGCCGCCCGGGCGAATCCGAATCTCCCGTGTGCGCGACGCCAACTGGCAGGCCCCCACTGGCGCCAGCGCCGTCACCCCCGTCGCGCCGTCCCGCGCGATCCAGTCGCTGAGCTGGCACCCGAACGGGCAGCTGCTGCTGTGCGGGAGCATAGATGGACGGGTGAGATTCGTCCACGTGGACGGTGAGGAGAACCCTGAGTTGCAATCCATCTACTTTGAAAACGTTCTCGTGCGCACCGCTGCTTTCACTGCTGACGGCACCCAGGTGGTTGTAGCGGGGCGTAACGGCCGTAACGCCAACCGCGGTTACGCGACCGGGGAGGCGTTTAACGGTTACCACGTGTACGACATCGGCGCGGGGAGAGTCGCCCGCGTGGATGGAATAATCGGGCGGCCCAAGCGCGACCCGCCGCTGACCCGGTTCGCCCTGTCCCCGGACGGAGGCAAGGCGGCGTTCCTGTCTCGCGACGGGTTCATCGTTCTCGTGTCACTCAAGTCCCGCCAGTGGATGGGCAACCTCAAACTCAACGGCTCCGTCTCCTCTGTCTGCTTCGCACCCCCTGTTCCCTCCGACGCTGCTGCCGGCACTGACGGGTCGGATGGTCCGAGCGGGCAAGCGCTGACAGGGGAGCATCAGATGCTGGCCACGGGGAGTGACGGGGAGGTGTACCACTTTGATCTGCGCATGATGCGCTGCATTCACAGGCGGGCGGACGACGGCTGTGTGAAGGGCACCGCCATTGCAGCGTCTCCAGACGGGCGGCACTTTGCAGCTGGATCTGACTCAGGAGTGGTGAACCTCTATGACCGCCCGGCCTTCCTCCGCTCAGGACCCTTTGGAAGCATATCATCAGCAGAAGCAGCAGTGGGATCGGGAGGCTTGAGCCGGGACAGCGAGAAGCCGCTGCAGCGTGCATTCATGAACCTGACAACGGAGATAGACGCGCTCTCATTCAACCACGACGGCCGCATTCTCGCCCTCTCGTCCCGCGAGCAGCGCGACTCGCTTCGCTTGGTGCACGTGCCGTCGCGCTCCGTGTTCTTCAACTGGCCAACTGAACGCACGGCGCTGCAGTTTGTGCACGCAGTGGAGTTCAGCCCGCACAGTGGGTACCTGGCTGTGGGGAACCGGCGGGGGAAGGTACTGCTGTTCCGTCTAAGGCATTATGATAGGGCTTAGGACTTGCGACGGGGCTTGCATGATCCCACGCCACACGATGCTGCAGTATGTGCACGCGGATGATTTCAGCCCTCACAGCGGGTACCTGGCTGTTGGGAACCGGCGGGGGATGGTGCTGCTGTTCCAATTGAGGCACTATGAGAGGGCTGAGTTGCTGCTGCCGAGAGAGAAGGGTCCACTGTGCTGCAGTTAGTGCACTGGGTGGAGTTCAACCCACATAGTGGGTACCTGGCTGTGGGGAACCGGCGGGTGAAGGTACAGCTCTTCCGTGTCACGGCATTACCAAAGGATTTACCTAGTAGGTAAATCCTTGGCTAGCCGAATAGGAGGGGGCTGGGGTGATCTAATAGTTTTGGAGCATGGCATTGTTCTTCAGCTCACTCGATGAGTCTCTCACCTACGCAGTGGTGTGTGTTCCACCTTGGCTAGGCATTGTAACATCTTCATGAACAAGTGGAGAGGAGGGTATGAACATGCCTAACACATGGTACAGACATGACTTTAGCATGATTGGAATGTTAATTTGCTGACGGGTTTTCCAAGATGTCACTTTCTGTCAAATGTTATTATAGGTTCTTAGGCTACAGTGAGTAGCACTATAGAGAGTACAACACTTTTAGGGTTGCTATTTGTATCCCTTGTTTCACATTGTTCACACATTCCGTTGTTCGCTAACTTTGAGATGGTATCATGAGTAGGTGTCGATCCTCTCGCCTAGCCTAGCCTAGCTCGCGCCCTAGCGCCCTCCGTACCCTTGCGCCCTCCGCGCCCTCCGCGCCCTCCGCGCCCTCCGCGCCCTCCGCGCCCTCCGCGCCTTAGCCTCCGCGCCCTCCGCGCCCTCCGCGCCATCTCAGCGCCTTAGCGCCCTCCTCCTCCGCGCGTTAGAGCCCTCAGCGCCCCTAGCCTGCGCCCCTAGCCCGTCGCCCAGGCGCCCGCCCTAGCCCGACGCCCAGGCGCCCGCCCTAGCCCGACGCCCAGGCGCCCGCCCTAGCCCGACGCCCAGGCGCCCGCCCTAGCCCGTCGCCCAGGCGCCCGCCCCAGCCCGTCGCCCAGGCGCCCGCCCCAGCCCGTCGCCCAGGCGCCCGCCCCAGCCCGTCGCCCAGGCGCCCGCCCCAGCCCGTCGCCCAGGCGCCCGCCCCAGCCCGTCGCCCAGGCGCCCGCCCTAGCCCGTCGCCCAGGCGCCCGCCCTAGCCCGTCGCCCAGGCCCACGCCCTAGCCCGTCGCCCAGGCGCCCGCCTTAGCCCGTCGCCCCAGCCCGCGCCCTGGCCCGTCGCCCCAGCCCCGCAGGCAGCGCGCCGCGCGGGTAGCGCGCCCCGCAGGCGGCGCGCCCCGCGGGTAGCGCGCCCCGCAGGCAGCACACCCTGCAGGCAGCGCGCCCCGGAGCGCTTTAGCGCCAGAAAATAAATAAATAAATAAATATTAAACCCTAAAAAAAAAACAAAACAAAACAAAAAGGGTTTCGGGTGGGGGCCTGCAACTGTCGGCCGCGTTCCTGCTTGCCGGACGACCTGCACAGTTGCCTGCATCCCGCAGCCGTCAGTACTGCAGCCCCTACTGTCGCACGTACGTTCCACTGCCAGTGGCTCTACTAGCGGCAGCCGACAGCCGCACTTACGGTCTACCTCCAGCCAGCCCTAGCTCGCCGTTTCTAGCTCCAGCCAGTTGTGCTCCAGCCGTTCTCGCTCCAGCCATTCTCGCTCCTCGCTCGTAGCTCAGTTTGCTCCGTGCTCCAGCCGTTCCTCGCCTAGTTTCACCTGTCGCTCCTAGCCTGCCGCTCTTGCACCCCGCTAGCTTCTATCATGGAGTCCACTAGGGTTCTCCAGCAGCAGGGACAGCAGCAGCGGCCGTTTCAGCAGTGGCTTCCGCAGCAGTAGGGGCGCCCTCAGCAGCTTTGGCGCCCTCAGCAGCCGTGGGGGCCTGGTGGTTCAGGTCGCGTTGGCTGTAGCAGCGGCCCAGCCAGCTGGGGGGCTCGTCGCGGTGGCCGCGACGTCGGCCCCTGCCGGTACCGGATCCTGACCGGCCCTGGTGCTGGCACTACCTGCTGGCGTCCTGACCACTCTGCACAGCGCTGCTACAGCCGCCTCGACGACCTTTACCGTGAGCGTTTTGGGCCTGAGTCGGCTCCCCCGATCTGGCCCGGTCTGTTTCGTAGTGGTTACCCTGTGTTTGATATGTCTATGGATGCTGTTTATTCTGTCACGTACGGATCTCTTGGCTTACGTGTACCTAGCTTAGGACCTTTGCCTGTTGCTTGTGTCGGTACTTGTGCTTTTAGTGTAGGTGCTTGTGTAGTCACTAGCCCGGCCGTGACGACTGCTGTTGCGTCGCTCTCCTTCACGCTGGACTCCGGCGCGTCTCAGTGCTTCTTCCGCGACCACACCACTGTCACACCTCTTTCGGCTCCAGTCCCAGTTGCCCTGGCTGATCCTACTTCAGGACCAGCAGTTGCTCGCAGCTCGACCACCCTCCCGTGCCCAGCTGTCCCCTCTGGTTTCCTCACTGGTCTCTACATCCCCTCGTTCTCTCGGAACTTGGTGGGTGTTGGATACCTTCAGGACCGGGGGATCACAGTCACTTTTCCTGCGCACGGGAGGACTGCGATCTGTACGGACTCTTCCACCGGGGCAGTTCTTGCCACGTTCACCAGAGAGCCCCACTCAGGTCTCTTCGTCCTGCACACTCCGCCCCCGCAGGTAGCTGCGTCTGGTCAGGTTGCTTCGTCCCCCCCGGTAGCAGAGTCCGGTCAGGTTACTGCGTCCCCACCGGTTGCTGTGTCCGATCAGGTTGCTGTGTCCGGTCTAGTTGCCGCGTCTTGCTCGTGTCGGTCTTTCACCCACCGGACCGTCTTGTGGCACCACCGTCTTGGCCACGCGTCGATCCTCCGCCTCCGCACTATGGCTAGTCACCGTCTTGTCTCAGGTCTCCCTCGCGTCTTCCCGTCGCTCCCTCCCTCGCCTGCGCCGCCGTGCACTCCTTGCGTCGCCGGCCGTCTTCGTGCCACTCCGCACTCCTCCTCCCTTCGTCCGGCCACTGCTCCCTTCCAGACACTCCACTTGGATGTCTGGGGCCCTGCACCTACGTAGGGACCTGAGAGGGAGCGCTACTTTCTGGTGGTCGTCGACGACTTCTCCAGGTACACCACGGTGTTTCCTCTCGCGAAGAAGTCCGAGGTGACTTCTACGCTGATCCGGTGGCTTCTAGCCACTGAGGGCACTCGTGGCCGTCGTGTCTCCTGTCTCCACTCTGACCGTGGGGGTGAGTTTCGCTCAGGCATTCTTGCCGGATTCTGCGGCGAGAAGGGCATCGTACAGTCCTGGACGCTGCCAGAGTCCCCACAGCAGAATGGGGTTGCTGAGCGCCGCATTGGCTTGGTCATGGACATCGCCCGCACGTCCATGATTCATGCCTGTGCGCCCCATTTTCTGTGGCCCTACGCGGTTCGCTACGCCGCTCACCAGCTGAACCTCCAGCCGCGCGTCTCGCGGCCAGAGGCTTCACCGACCAGTATTTGGACCGGGTCCCCTGGTGTTGGGTCAGCTTTTCGTGTCTGGGGCTGCCTTGCGCTTGTCCGCGACACCTCTGCGGACAAGCTCTCGGCTCGCGCCGTCCCCTGTGTCTTCCTTGGTTTCCCGGTAGCCTCGGCCGACTGGTCCTTTTACCACCCGCCCCTCCACCAGTTCCTAGACTCCCGTGACATCCAGTTCGACGAGTCAGTGTCCTACTACACCCGGTACCCCTGTCGAGGTCTCCCGGTTCCCCTTCCCCCCCCTTTTCCTCGCACCCTCTCTTCCCCCTGCTCCCGCTCCTCCGGTACCCCCACCCCCCCTTGGTCCTGCCCCGTCAGGTGTGTCTCACGCTACCCCTCTACCCTCGGTCGCGCGTCAGGTAGCGGCTCCCTCCCCGCAGTCCTCCTCACAGTCCCCTCTGCAGCCTTCGGTACTTCCGCGACAGGCTATTGTGGACTCGGTTGGTTTTGGAGCTGGAGGTGCAGCCACTAGCGGTACTCGGTCCGGGGGTGCTCGTTTGAGGGGTGCTGGAGTTGGAGGTGCTGGCGCAGGTGGCGCTAGCCCTGGGGGTGCTGGAGCTGGAGGTCCTGGCACTGGAGGTGCTAGTCCTGGGGGTGCTGGAGCTGGAGGTGCTGGCGTAGGTGGCGCTAGCTCTGGGGGTGCTGGAGCTGGAGGTGCTGGCACTGGAGGTGCTAGTTCTGGGGGTGCTGGAGTTGGAGGTCCTGGCACTGGCGGTACTAGTTCTGGGGGTGATGGAGCTGGAGGTGCTGGCACAGGAGGTGCTGGTTCTGGGGGTGCTGGTCCTGGGGGTGCTGGTTCTGGGGGTGCTGGTGCTGGAGGCGCTGGCACTGGAGGTGCTGGTTCTGAGGAGACTGGAGCTGGAGGCACTGGTTCTGCGGAGTCCACCCCGCCTCCCCACCGCCATGACACACGTCTCCAGGCGGCCCGTCAGCGTGAGCGTGAGGAGCAGGTGCTGTTGGAGAGGGAGCGGCAGGAGTTGCGGCAGTTGGACCTGCTGGAGCAGCAGCAGCAGCAGCAGCAGCGGCCACAGCAGCAGCAGACACCGCCGCCGCAGCTGCGACCACAGCAGCTCCCTCTGGAGCGGCAGTTGTTCCCACCCGTGAGTGGCCTTCGGGCCCTTGGTCTTCCCTCCTCTCCTCCTGTTCACACTCCGTCCCCTCTAGCGTTTGGTCCCACGTTTCCTCCTCCTGACGCCAGTCCGACGTCTGGTCTTCTCCTCCACCGCAGTCTCCTCCACCTGGTGTCCCACACTCTCGTGTCCGTCCTTGTCCTCCGCGTGCTCGTCACTCGTCTCCCGTTACCGACCTCCGCACTGCCCTCCTTTGTTTGTCTCTTCGTCGTCCTCCTCCTGAGTCCGTTCTCCCGTGTCCGCCTCCGTCCTCTCTCCCTTTCCCCCCTACTCCTGTCACTGACTACTACCACGCTGTTCGTCCTGTTTTCTCTCGTGTCCTCGCCACTCTTATCACCGACTCTTGTTTCCCTCCGTCGTCTGTCTCGGCTCTCACTGCCGCTGTCGCTGAGTTTGCTGCCGCCAGTCGCCTTGACTACACCACCCGTGTGGTGCCAGCTCCTCCCTCCCGTCCTCTGTCCGTCGGGGGTGGGTTTGCCCTTGGCTGTGACGTCCTAGAGGACAGAGAGTCTGAGCTGGAGTACTGGGCAGCCGCTTCCCCCGCTGTCTGTGCCATGCTGCTATCCCCTGAGGGAGACCCCGACGCCCTTGACATACCGACTCCTCGCACTTACCGCGAGGCAGTGTCAGGGGCGTGGGCCTCAGAGTGGAAATCGGCTATGGCCTCGGAGTTAGCGTCTTGGAGATCCACAGGCACCTACGTCGACGCAGTTCCCCCTCCCAGGGCGAACGTAGTCGATGGCATGTGGCTCTTCAAGGTGAAGCGGCCGCCTGGTTCACCGCCTGTGTTCAAGGCGCGCTACGTGGATAGGGGTTTCAGTCAGCGTGAGGGAGTTGACTTCTTCCAGACCTTCGCCCCGACCCCGAAGATGACTACTCTTCGGGTGTTACTGCACGTAGCAGCACAGCGAGACTACGAGCTGCACTCCCTTGACTTCTCTACTGCGTTTCTCCAGGGCCGACTACACGAGGAGATCTGGCTGCGCCGCCCTCCTGGTTTCACTGACACCTTCCCACCTGGGACCCAGTGGAGCCTGAGACGGCCAGTCTACGGTCTCCGCCAGTCGCCACGTGAGTGGCACGACACTCTTCGCTCCACGCTTCGTGACCTTGGGTTTTGTCCTTCCTCTGCCGACCCGTCGCTGTTTGTTCGCACTGGTTCCACTCCTTTCTTTATACTAGTGTACGTCGACGACTTGGTCTTTGCCACAGCAGACAGGGCAGCTCTGGCTCAGGTGAAGTCCGAACTGCAGAAGAGACACAAGTGCACTGACCTAGGTGAACTGCAGCGCTACCTTGGCCTGCAGATCACCAGGGACAGAGCCGCTCGCACCATCACACTGACTCAGTCACACATGGTGCAGCAGGTCCTTCGGCGGTTCGACTTCCAGTTCTCCACCACACAGCCCACACCTCTTGCTGTTGACCACAGACTCACTGGCCCCTTTCCCGACGAGCCTTTTGAGTCCAGTGGTCCCTACGCAGAGCTGGTGGGCTGCCTCATGTACCTGATGACTTGTACTCGGCCGGACCTCGCCTTTCCCCTCAGCGTCCTCTCTCGCTTTGTTGCGACTGGGAGACACCGTCCTGTCCACTGGACAGCTGCTGTGAGGGTGGCGAAGTACCTGGCGACTACATCAGGCATGGGGCTTGTGCTTGGAGGGACTCAGCCAGTGGCGTTGACTGGTGACTGCGACTCTTCCTACGCTGACGACGTGGAGACTCAGCGCTCGACTCAGGGTTACTGCTTCAGTCTGGGAACTGGTGCTGTGTCATGGAGGTCTACACGGTCGTCGTCTGTGGCTACTTCCAGTGCAGAGGCAGAGATCTACGCTGGTGCCATGGCGGCACAGGAGCTTCGCTGGTTGACCTTCTTGCTCGCCGACCTTGGTGAGCGGCCTCGCTCTGCACCGACCTTGTACGCTGACAACAAGGCCATGATCCTCCTGTGTCGAGAGCCTCGACTGGAGAGCAGAGTGAAGCATATTGACGTGAGGTTTTTCCTTCTGCGAGAGCTGCAGCGACGCGGCCAGGCACGCCTGGACTTTGTGGCCTCAGAGGCCAACACTGCAGACGTCTTCACCAAGGCCCTGGCGCTTGGTTACCACCACAGGTTCTGTGTGCAGTTGGGGCTTGTTGAGGTAGGCCCTAGTGAACTCTTGAACTGGCCTTGTGGCCGCTTGCTTGTGCTCGGAATTTGTGTGGTGTCCTTGAGATCCACCCTGAGCTTGCTTTGCTTCTTGCAGTGACTGGTCTTGTGGCCGTTTGTTCACCCTGCTTGCTTTGATGCCCTTCACTTAGCCTATGGGGGTGTGTCAAATGTTATTATAGGTTCTTAGGCTACAGTGAGTAGCACTACAGGGAGTACAACACTTTTAGGGTTGCTATTTGTATCCCTTGTTTCACGTTGTTCACACATTCCGTTGTTCGCTAACTTTGAGACTTTCAGTCTTTTCATCCCTGGCATTCCCAATCTGAACAGCAGCACTTCCTCCTGCAAAAGGAAATAGGGTGTGTTAGTTAAGCAGCTGCCACACATGATTGTTGAATGGGCACATGTAAAAACCCTGAGTTGCTACGGAAGAGCACTTACCAAATATCAGTGCTGCTCCCAGATACCCTACAGTCGTCCACTCCTCCTGTAGGACCAAGGAGGCTAAGAGTGCCGAATACAGCGGCTCGAGAGTGTAGACCATGGCCACTTCAGATGCAGCAACATGCCGGAGTGCCACGATCTGAATCAACACAAGGACCAAACACCCTGTAAGCTCGGTTGATACACGGAAATAACATGGTAATGCCGAAAGCAGGCAGAATGAGAAGCAGGGACTCAAAGGTGGTGGTGGTGGGGGTGGTGGTGGTGGGGGTGGTAGTGGTGGGGTGGGGTCCAAGCTGTGGAGGGAGAGCAGCAACGAACCTCAAGCCAGAGGCAGAGAGCGGTGGAAACCACCCCCGTGTACCCCATCTGAAGCCACGGCCACGAGCTCACCACCGAGGCTAATCTCTCCACAGCATCAGTGGGTGATGTGGCACTGATTAGCTCCTTGGCCTGGGCGGCAAAACCAGGCAGGGACGTCTGAGCCTCTATGTCGGCTGCAAGGGCGGTGGTGGCAGATGGAAGGTCTATGAGGCTGGTGATTGCTGTGCCGATGGCAGCACAGCACGCCACAGTGGATATCTGCCAGTGTGAGCAACATTTCAGCGCATAGAGCAGTTGGGTGTTTGAGAATTCATGAAAGCACAGAACGCCACTGCGGATATCAGCTAGTTTAAGCAGCAGTTCAGCACACACAGAGCAACAGAGATACAACTCAGTGGTGTGCAGCCTGAGTGAACAGAAGCACATATGATTCCCACATTTCTCACACACGAATCGCACAGCACAGCTCGCTTCACCTGCAGGGCGATGAGGTCGAGACTTGCTGTGGCGGGCACAGTCTTGGCGAAGTGTTCCGATCGCACCATGAGCAGCCCAAACGCCACCGCGCTCACCAGCGCCAGGCCGTCCCCCACCTGAGCCGGTGATGTGATGTGTATGGGGAGGGGAGGAGGCATGGGACAGGGACACAGGACAAAGGGACACAGTCTTGGCGAAGTGCTCTGATCGCACCATGAGCAGCCCGAACGCCACCGCGCTCACCAGCGCAGTGATCTCTGAGTGTAGCAAATAGATGCGTATCTCTGACATTAATTGATTCTGATCAGGGTCCTTAGTGTGAGGATAGGAGTGGACTCACGAGCGTGGAGGCTTCAGAGTTGGCTTCGAGGAGGAGAACGCCAGCAACGGCGGAGGCAGTGGCAGCCCACACGAGGGGAGGGATGCGCGCCCCCAGCAGACCCGCCACCAGCGGCACCTCTATCATCTGCCCCCTCGGAGGTCAGGCAACAGAGTACAAGAAGACCGATATCATTGAAATGGTTATCTCTGAAGAACTGCCTCCAGCGGCAAGTACATCATTTAATGAACGGACGCAGCAACACATCAATCACGCAGAAGTATTGATGATTGATTGCCAAGCTGGCAATGCAGCACGCAGAACCGTCCTTAAGATTGATTCACACGCACATCCACTGCGAACGACAATGCCATGACATCCGGACACAGCCAAAAGTGAAGGCGAGTCCACGAAAGCTAATTCCTGCTTACAGTGAAAGTGCCGATAAAGGCCACGCGGCCAGCGCCAGTGGTGATGAGAGCGAAGGCCTGCGAGAGATACGCCAGTGCCGCCCAGAGGCCCATTTCGATGCCGCAGCGGCGGACGGCGGGGTTGGAGAGGGCGGCGGGGAGCAGCGGAGAGAGCGCGAGTGCCGCGATGGCGAAGCGACCCAGACAGAACTGCAGCGGCCCTCCTGCGGCTTCCTCTGCTCCTTTGATCACCGTGCCGTTGCTGGCTGCAGGCAGGCGGGTGTGGTGCAGGCATGAAAGGGGAGGGACGTTGCGCGCGATCAATGTTGGGGACCAAAGAGGATAGCAAGCGGATAAAACAGCTGCAGGCTGCATACCATAGAGCATGGAGAAATGCATATAATAAAGCATGATGAATGCATACAATGGAGGATGGTGAGTGAATACCATAGAGCATGGTGAGCGCGTTCAGAACGATGAGGCCGCCAGTGCGAGACGCAACCACCTTGGTGACGGCTTCTGCGCCCTTCTCCATCAGCAGCGGCACCAAGTCCGCGAGCGACCGAGCAGTACCCTCCCCCTCCGCCGAATTTCCATCTGGTGGAACTGCTTCGCTTTCTGGTCTCGAGATTCCCTCGCTGACGTGGCAGTGGATAGTTTCGGTGCGTCCAGTAACACCGGTGACGCCGTGCTGGTCGCTACGGCGACGCGCACGATCTGACGCTTTAAGGTGGGTGCGTATTCTCAATACAGACGGGTGAGCTTCAAGTGTTTTTCGCGACCTAACGGTTCTGGATGAGTGGAGTGTACATTCACGGCATTGGGCTAGGTAACCTTGCTGCGTTTGTCGGAATCCTCTGGTGAGCTGCCTATCTAGAAGTGAGGAGGACATTATCGCGGATTCTCGGATTGACAGCGTGTGTCACTGGCGGAAAGGAGGTATCATCTGCGTGCTACTAAGTCAGGCTAGCTCGCATCGTCCTGTGCTGGGAACACCACTCCACTCTCAAGCTTTGGATCGTTCGCTTCGAGATTCACCGCCGCATACTCGCGGATTCGGCAACTTAGCCTATAATCCACCTTGCGTCAACGCTTCATCCCGTCAGCACCCATAAACTCACAACCTCGCGGGAAACATACAGTCCACTGAGGTCCTTGCAGTTCGCCGAGTTCCCGAATCCCGATTTTCCCTATCCCGCTTTTGAATCTGCAGGAGCACCTCGGGACTGTCTTGTGCTTTACTCCTCCTGAGTTCAGTATATATATTTTGAGGTTCACTGTATCTGCTTCGTAATGTTGCAGCAACCATCTACTCCTGTCAGTTCTCCCTCCTCGGTCTGTCAGTCTGCTTTGCGCGCATTTCTTGGAATTGCCATTCGCGCACTCGCGGCGCGTCACTTTCCTCTGTAAAAGTGATAGTGCGGTAAATGGGTAAATATTGCTGTACCACGATATGTCGAGTTAAATGGCTGATGATTAACAACAAAAATATTTTCCCAATCAACATATACATTACCTGATTAAAACATTTGCCGTACACAATTTGCTGCTTGGACTGGAGTATGGCAACGCCAAAGCGGAAATGAAGAGAAATTAACCGTGCAAATCCAACGTATTATGCAATAAAGCTACGCTTTAATGCCACAACACTACCTCTTTTCCTAGCTTAGTCCCCTCCCAGAAACCTCCTCTTCTCTTCCTTGGCTAACTGCTTGTACTCCCTCCTCTCATGGAACCTCGCATTCTTGTCCTGTGCCTGCTCCCGTATCCTCCTCAGCTTGCCTGCATCAGCCTCCAGACCACCCATTGAAAACATCGCCTCAAAACTCCTCCCCGCACCACCCTTCACACCCCTCCCTTGCCCCACCTCCCTGTCTCCCTCACCCTCCCTAGTCCTTTCCCGCTTCCGGGTGTCTCCGCTCGGCTTCTCATCTCCCTCGCCACCCTTCACTCCCCTTCTGACAGCAGTCGCAGCAAGCTCTTTCTCTGCACGCCGCCGTTCCTCTCTCCGAGCCTTCTTCCGAGCCAGTTTCTCCTCCCGAGCGTATCGCCTCTGCCGCTTCTTGCTCACCCGAACCTTGCCCTCACGCTCTGCCTCCCGTACGCGCCTCCTCTCCTCCCTCAGCTTTGCACGCCTACCCTTCTTCCGTTCCCCCTCCCCTGCTGCTCCATCCTCCCCCACCCCGTTTTTCCTCTTTCCTTCCCCTCCTCCACCACCATTTCCTCCCCGCTCGTGTGATCCACCCTCACCCGAATCCGAGTCCGATTCTGATTCTGATTCTGATTCTGAATCTGAATCTGAATCTAATTCTGAACTTGACGAGGAGGAACTAGACGAAGCATGCCGACCTTTCCTCCTCTTCTTGGTGCCCTCCTTATCCCCCTTCTTCTTGCCCTTCCTTCTTTCACCTCCTTCCCCACCATCTCCCCTCCCAAGGCCTGGTTCCTCACGCCCTTTACCTTGCATCTTTTGCTCCTTCAAGTCCTCTTCCTCGCTGTTCCCACCTCCTTCTCCTGCCTCTCTAGCCCTGGCACTGCTGCCTGCTGCCTTATCCTCGCTATTGACCGCCCCAGCAGCACCCTGTGCAGCAATCTTTTCCTCCAACTGCTTCTTCATGCGTGCCACACGCTCCTCATGCCCCGCGGCCCTGCAGGGTGCAGCAGACAAAAGATTTTCAATCACTCATACGAAAACATGGTCGGTAACAATTAAAAAGAAAGAAAGGAAAATCGCCAACGGCAAGGGGAGGGTTACAGGAAGTGTTAGCGAGCAACACAAGCTCAACCGGGACCACCAGCACACGTCACTTACGGTGCGAATCCAAGCCCTTCAATCCTCTCCCCTGACGCATATTCCTGCGTCAGCACCTCGCCGCTCTGCCCTCTCCTGAACAGCTCATCCATCTAGCCCTTCTCCATGCCTCGCGCCTCCCCCAGCTTCGGCCCTCTCCTCTTCACAGGCGCTATCCCCAGCATCTCGTTCATTGCCGCCTCCTCCTCCTCCTTCATCCGCTGCCTTTCCGCCTTCAGCTGCTCTTCCGCGGCTGCTTTCGCGGCGGCCTTGTCCCCGGGCTTTGTCCGCGCGTACCACTGCAGGTCCTTGCCTGGTGTCATAGTGACAGAGGATAAGAGAGAAGTTAATGAAAAGGAGTGCAGCACAGTAGATCCTGGCCTGGTGTGCGGGTGGGGGGCAGATGACAGATGTTACTGCACATACTTGTTGCGGCTGTTGTGAGTTGACGAGAAGGGGTGGCAGGTGAGTAGAGGAGGGGGGTTGAGAAAATAATGAGAAAGACGAGAAGCAGAGAGACGCAGCATCCCCAGGTCCTTTCTTCCCTGACAAGGCCCTTACAGGTTGAGGGGTTGGTATTTCGGGTCTATCACCGCACCTCCTGAAACCTGGTGGCGAAAGACGCTTTAGGGTGCCTTGGACAAGCACGGACGCATCGGATTACTGAACGCATAAACTGAGCACAAAGGTTTAGCCGCAATTGTATAAATTCCTGCAGCCTAATGGACTAAGTTTCCGCACCCCAGTGAAATACGATCCTGCATCCAAGGAGGAAATACGTACCTTTTTGCCAGCGGCCGACAGGTGCCATCACACTGTGGCCGAGAAAATTCTCCCGGAACTTGTCACTCTTCACGTCGTCCCATTTGAATTCTGGTCGAGAAGAAAGGTGGTAATGAAAATATTCAGGCATTAGCAATCATGGTTTGGTAAATGGGACGGTCGAGAAGGGTACATAAACGATCTATTCCGAGGCGCGTCGGACGTCGATAATACTACAACGACAACCTTGCGCGATGTAGGGTTGCGATCGGAAGCGACTAACGCTCCCGAACGGAAAAGGCATAAAGAGGGAATGAGGCAACAAGAACAACGATCCAAGAAAGAAGGCCCCAGCAATCTAAACTCATTCGAGTCTTCACAAGGCAAACGCTTAACCTAGCAACTAGGAAACAAACTTACGATCTTTCCCTCCCCGAACGCCGCCTCTAGATGGATGAAACATCGATGCAATTCTACTAGCCGAACGGTAACACTACGGCGTAAACTGAAGAAACCGTGATGGAAACAAGAGATGCACAAAGATGAGACAAAAGCTCGCTTGTGCAGCAAACAAGTCAGGCAGGTACGTCAGTTTCATCCCAGCACGCTTTCAAAACCAGAAAGCCGTGCCGTACGCGCTTTAAGAATATGTTGCTGTAAGGTCCTGATTCTGTACAGAACCTCAAATTTGAAATTTGATAGGATGACCAGACAGGATGAGAGGCCTTGAAACCCACACGTCAATACCCTATTTATCGACGGTTCGAGATGCGTCACTCAAAACAATCGACGGTACATAGCCCCTCGATCGGGGTTAGCACGTTGACGGATGAGGCAGGCCTGGAGCAGCTGACACAACAGCGCCACGCAAGCCAACTTTCAATCCACCTTGATGTGGTAACCCGTTCCCTCACCTCTATCGTCATTCAGCTAAACGAGCGAACGAAGAGTTCCACATCCTGGTAACCCCGAACGCTCTTCGCGTTTCTCCGTTTGCCTCCCCTTGGCATGCTCCTAAACTCTCCCTCCCTACCCTTCCCCTCACTTAGCACTAGTGCTAGGTTTCTGATTGTTCTCTCACCTGAATCACCAGTACGCCTGTTTCAGAAGCGCCATGGCTGCTGTGACCCAACAGGTAGGTCTAAACGGATTATCGTCGTTAGTCTCACGCAGTACACGTTGGT